GTAGAAGAGTGCATGACTACCAGACTGCTCCCAGGTCCTGTCTTGCTTCAATTAGGATGCACTCTGGCCCAGATTTCAACATATGAGGCCTCTAAGTAATGCATATGGAGTGTGATGTCCACAAATGGGAGCCATTTCAGTTATAAAATGTCTCCAGTTTACTCTCTGGTAACTGCATAGCTTGTGTGATATTTTCTAGAAAGTCATGCCTCGTAAAATACATATTCCCAGGTTTCTGTGCAGCGAAAGTCCATCCTTTGTGGAATAGTAAGCATTCCATAAGTAAGGATTCTCCTGGTAGTAAATACCTCAAGTGTATTTGCCACAAGGTCTCTCGTTAGTAAATTTCTAAGATTTGATCGTGTTACCGCTCTGTTTTTCTGTTTCTTGGGCAGTAAAAGGAGAGAATGGATTGCAGGTGTGCTGCCAGCCCTTTCTACCCATCAGGATGTTCACTTCTTTCTTTAATGTTTCTGTCTCCTTTCCCTGATGCCTGGTACCTAACGGTATTAGTGTTATATTGCTTTATCCTAATATATATGTGTATGTATATGTATATGTATATATAACTGTGTGTACGTGTAGATGTGTGTGTGTGTGTATAAAACTGTATATATAGTTTCAAAATAACAGTGGCCACCTTACCACTAACAGCAGGACCACTGAATGCAGTTTAAGATTTCTTTATGGTTCTTTTTGTTTTTAGTATATATTTTACTAGGGATTTGTAATATGGTGTTTTAAAAATCATTTAAATATTTCTGTGTGGTTATACCAACAATCTTATATACATTTACATTCACTTGTTTGCTTTTAGTTTTTCAATAATTGCTTTGTTTTTTCCTTTTAGCTTTTATTATTAATGCATGAAAAGGCTTATGTTCTTACATATAACATAAATTACATATGCGTGGCTTTGTGTGTGTACAGTCCCAGCTACATTAGAACTGGGTATGTGACAATTACTTCTAGACCTGCTTCACTTGTCAGCCTCTCATCCGTGTCACTGCCATATTGATAGAAGTTCGGCATGCTTGCCAATCCCAGTGATATCATCCCCATGGCTCTTCCCCAATACCCTTTCTCAGGACCTCTGGACCTCTGAACAAGTTCTCCCCACAGCTCGGAATACCTTTCTCACCCCATTGCTCAAATTCATCTATCACATTTCTACCCATTCATAAAGAGAAACTTAACTTTCTTCTTTCTAAAGCGGATCCTGAACCACCCAAGGTAGTTGAAGAGTCTCATGTATGTAAGAGCTTCCTATCTGGTGTCCTTGCTTTTACCACCCCGCCCCCCGCCCCGCCCCTTCATCATCAGTTCTCTAACAGTAGCCGGACTGATCTTCCTGTTCAGAAGCCTCCAGTGACTTCCTGTCACATACAGAATAAAATTCAACTTCTTAATCTTTGTTGATGAAGGCTTACATGATCAAGCCCTTTCTATCCAACTTCCTCTTCTGCCACTCCCCTTCACTCACATGACTGCAGCCACACGTGCCTTCTTGCTGTGTTTTGAACATTTCACACTTATTCCCAGCTGTATTGGGGGTCCCTAAGACCATACTCCCAGGCTCTATGATTCTCTAGAAAGACTCAAGACTCAGCATACAGTGATAGTTACAGCTGTGATTTATTACAGCAAAAGAATACAGAGCAAAATCAGCAAAGGGAAAGATGCATGGGGTGAAGTCTTGGGGGAATCAGGTGCAATCTTCCTAGGGTCCTCTCCCAGGGGAGCCACACATTACATGCTTAATTTCCCCAGCAACAAGTTGTGACAACACATATGAAATGTTGTCTACCAGGGAAGCTCATTAGAGATTTAAGTACCTGGAGTTTTTATTGGGGGCTAGTCAATGTAGCCACTCTCTGTCTAGCACATACCAAAGTTGTGGACTCCCAGAAGGAAAGCAGCATAAACTGTATTGTTTATACAGTTGAGAGCAACTCTTAGCAGTTAGGGTAGTTGGAACCCTTGAGAGAGCTAGATTCCCAGACACCAGCCAAGGGCCAACCTTGTAAGCAAGCCATTTCAAGGATAGAAGTTTAGGCCTGCTGTGTTAACTCTTCTCTGCAAAGTCTACCCCTTTGGTCATTGTCCAAGTTGTCTTTATAGCAAAGTTATTATCAGTAAAACCCAGACAATAGAGAGAGACCAGTCTTCAGTATTAATT